TCCCAACTCCTAGTTCTTAGTTTCTTTGCATTGGGTTAGAACATGATCTTTTAGCTCAGAGAAGTTTGTTATTACTCACCTTCTGAAGCCTGTTTCTGTCAATTCATCAGACTCATCCTCCATCCAGCCTTGTTCCCTTGCTGGTGAGGAGTTGTGATCCCTTGGAGGAGTACAGGCATCTGGTTTTGGGTGTTTTCATCCTTTTTGCACTGGTTTCTTCCCATCGCTACCTGTGGTCTTTGTGGTTGGTGACTTTCAGATGGGGTTTCTGAATGAACGTTCCTTTTGTTGCTGATGAAGTAATTTCTTTCTGTTTCTTAGTTTTCCTTCTAACAGTCAGGGCCCCCTGCTGTAGGACTGCTGGAGGTCCACTCCAGACTCTGCTTGCCTGGGGATCACCTGCGGTGGCTGCAGAACAGTAAGGGTTGCTGCCAGTTTCTTCTTCTGTTATCTTTGTCCCAGAAGGATACCTGCCAGATGTCAGCATGAGCTTCCTTTACGAAGTGTCTCTTGGGTTATACGGGGGTCAGGGAGCTGCTTGAGGAGATAGTCTGTCCCTTCTAGGAGCTCAAGTGCTGAGCTGTGAGCTCTGTTGTTCTGTTGAGAGCTGCTGGGCAGGTATGTTTAAGTCTGCTGCAGCAGAACTTATAACCACCTTTTTTCCCCAGGTGCTCTGTCCCAGGAATATGGGACTTTATTTATAAGTTCCTGTCATTCTGCTGCCTTTTTTCAGAGATGCCCTGCCCAGCGAGGAGGTAGCCTAGTCACTGCTTGCCAGCAGAGGCATTGCTGAGCTGCCGTGGGTTCTGCCTAGCTGCTGTGTGAACGTCCTTGCAGTTTTGTTTGTAGAAGTATAGTTAGAACTGCTTCAGTAATGGCAGATTGCCTCGGTAATGGCAGACTGCCTCAGTAATTGTGGGCTGCCTCAGTAATGGTGGATGCCCTTCCCCCAAAAGAGCTGGACTATCCTAGGTCCAGCTGTGCATGCTGTGAAACTCTCAGTCCAGAGCGTTTCAGATTGCTGGTCTTTGTGGGGATGGGACCAGCTGAGCCAGATCACCTGGCTCCCTGTTTCAGCCCCCTTTTTTTCAGTTGAACGGGTGACTCTGTCTCCCAGGCGTTCCAGTCGCCAGTTGAAACGGCACCCGGATTTGTGTGAGTTTTTGTGCAGAGACCCGCTGCGCTGGCTGAAACAGCCATGCTGGAGACTTGTGGCGCCTTTCCACTCAGGAATCTCCTGGTCTGTGGGCAGTAAAAATTCATTTGGAAATGCGGTAATCACTTTCTCTCTGCATTTTTGCTGGAAACTGCAATCCAGAGCTGTTCCTATTTGGCCATCTTGGATCCTCCCAAAAATAAAGTTTTATTGGCACTCAACCAGGCTTACTCTTTACATATTATCTATGGCTGCTTTCACACTACAATGAAACAGTTAGGTGGTAGTGACAGAGACCTTCCACAAAGCCTGAAAGATTTACTTTCCAGCCCTTTAGAGAGTGTGCAGATCCTGGGCTAAAGGATTGCCCTCTTCCTTTAAAATGCAAACACCCTCCTCTACTCTAGCCACTTCTGAGGTCCCTAATGCCTTTGTGAGAATGTGTGTGCCTGGTCACTTTGGGCCCTGTAGGGAAGAAAGAGCACTGAAAATGGAGGACACCATCCCATTTTCACTTCCAAACAATTGACATATGCCTCAGGTGGAATTCTGTCACTTCCTACTTTGTTTTGGAATTTACCTAAGAGCACCTTAATGCCCTCAACTCCTTAAGACAGGGTAACTGATGTCCCCCTGCTCCCTCCAGGGTTAAGCCCAGTTGAGCCTGGCACAGAGAGATGATTGGTAAACGTTTGTTGAATGAATAAGTGATGAAGCAAGTGAAATCCAGTGAACATATACATAGCTATGTGCATGAGCCAATAAACAGAAGAGACTGAATAAATGAATGAATGAATGAATGAATAAGTGATGAAGGAATCTGATGAAAGAAAGATGTGAATGCGTATGTGAGGGAATTGTTATAATAATGAGGAACTTAATAAAGAAATAAGTATGTAAGTGAATGAAGGAGGGAGAGATCAACAGGGTGGGTGAGTGACATGTGAATGCAGGTTGTGGGGTCTCTACAGGCCCATAAGGATATAAAGGGCAGTGATGCCAAGCTCTGCTGTCTCATCATTTCACCTTGCTTGCTCATGTCCTGACAGCCCTGGGGATTTTGAGCTTAACCAATACCCTTCCCCACTGAGGGTGTGTCCGTGCTTTAGTGCTTTAGTGCTTTGATATCTGGGTTCTGTCAGAAGGACAAAATCAACTGCACCCCTACGCTTGAGACCAAGCAGCCACCGTCCAAGACTGCAGCCTCCATATATGGAAAAATACGCCTTTGGCTGGTACATCCCCAGCCCCATCCCTTCCACGTGCACCAGTTATATAAGACCCAACCCAAAGCTAACCACCCTACAATGATGCATGCTCCAGGGGCAAGAAACAAGCAGCATGTTGGGTTTAGGTGAACTTCATAGCCAAGGTCACCCAACCAGGTAGGAAGACATGGAATCAAAAACACCTTATCCAAAGCAGTTCTCCCATCATCTATCTCTGTTTCCTTTATGGTGTATATTTTATTAGTCTGTTTTCTTGGTTTCTGTATCTTATATGCGTATCTTGTTTTACCTGCCTTCTCCCTAGAATATAAGCTCCATGAGGACATGGGAAGTCCAATAAATATTTGTTGAAAATTAGTGAAACATAGTCTGGAAAGCAAGTAAAGCAAACCAACCTCTTGAACCAGCTACCAAGATATGGTACCCTCTCTCAGTGGTGGACTTAGGTCTGACTTTGTGGCCAAGCCCCACGGGTGGTGACCTTCCACATGCCACTTCCCCTCAGGGGATTAAATTGGTGGTCTTGAAGCTCTTACAGCTTCAAGATCTTCAGCTCTTACATACTAGGTTCCTAAAGCCAGAGGAATGGGCTTCAGATTTTTTTAAGATTCATATAGTTAATGTGAACCTGAGTTCCCTGACCACAACTCTTGAAAAAAAATATTGGCTATTACATAGGAGGCAGTGATTTCATCTGGCCAGTGACCGAGGGGCGAGGTGACACTAGGTGTGGCAACTGGAGATGATCCAGATGCTATCACAGCTCTCCTTCAGGCTTTGCCAAGCCTCAGCTCAGGGCCAAAGCCCAGCCTGACATCCTACTGCCTATGCTTTGGGAAAGTTATACAAGCGTGCCCATAAATCACATTTCTGTCTCATAACAGAGAAATGACTGGGAAATCTCTTCTCAGGCGTCTTTGCAGAGTTCCCAGAAATGGAGTAAACTCTTCCTGGCTTAGCCCAGCAAATGAGGGACAGAGACCTAGAGAAGCCCTTCTCTGAGAGTCCCAGCCCTCACAGAGTCCAGCCCTTTAGAACCTTCCAGCCCTTAGAGCCAGCACCACCTGATCCTCCCTCCAAAATGTACACACTGCCTTGTGTGCTGTAGTTAGGGCTGAGAGGAAAGGCTCTGAAGTCAGTCAAGTAGGTTCAAATCCCAGCTCACCTTACTTGCTGGCTCTGTGGCCTTCAGCATGTTACTAAACACATATTTTTTCCTTGACATTCTCAAGGCAAAATGGGAAAAAATGATAATGGTATTTAGCCCCTTGGTTTGTTGTGAGGATTACATGAGATAATAGAGTGTTTAGGAATGTGTGGCCCCTGGCAAGTATTCTGTAAATGTTAGCTCTTGATGTTGGAACTCTGCTTTGTTTTCTTGCCATCTTATCTCAGTGAGATTACACGCTCCTTTAAGTGCAGGGACTATGCTTTCTTTTCAACCTTCTTTGTCTTTCACATTATCTTACCTAGGAGCATTTGTCAATTGGAGGAGACCAGATATTCCCAAATCATGCCTCTCCAGATGTTACAGGAGGTTCCTTAGTGAAAATCTATGAGCACTAGCTCTCAGCCTTTTGGTGGGAAAAATGACACCCATATTTTGTGGGAAAAGGTAGAGGTAGAGAACATCAAGGAAAGGTAAAGAACAAAAGTAACACCCCTCCCCACAAATATGTCACCACTGTTTGTTGTTACAAAAGTCTTATTACCAACAGAAGAGAGAATTGAAAGGATGGTTTCCTCACATCTGTCCCAGATGGTGCAGAAACTGATCTTCCTAAAAGCAGACTCAACAAACATTTATTGAGTGCTTAGGTATTGTTCTAAAAGGTGGAGATACAAATAAACTTATGGTTGTTGTAAGGATGGGCCAAAAATAGGGATTTTCTCCTTCTTAATGCAAATGCATATTTGCATTCCTTTTTAGCACAGTGAGATAAAAATATCAGGATACCTGGAAACAAAGATTATCTGAAGGATTTTATTCTCCCTTTATTTCCCATCAAATGCAGTGCTCTGAGGAGTGAGCTGCATTAGGTGTCCAAACAGCCTGGGTCCCAAGCTTGTGTGGCTCACTCAGTGATGGGGGAGGACAGCAGAGAGCTTGCGTGCAGGGCAGCCAAACCTCTCTGGGTACCACAGGCTGGGCCCTTGGGGCAGGGATGGTGAGTCTCTGGGGACAGCCAACTAAAACAGTTTAAATCTCATTTGAAACCATGAAAGACGACTGATTTCTGCAGAGCCACACAAAGCCAGCAAGCATGCCATCCAGAAGAAGCTTTAGGTGATGGCTTTGGAAACACACGCCCTTTTTACTTGCTGAGATCACCAAGCCTGTCTCAGAAAGGATTCTTAGATCTTGGTGGACTTTGCAGCCACATTCTAATAATCCCATGAAAAGGAAAAGTTGTCCTATGGCCAACCAAGGTCTCAGCCTCAGTATGGGGGGTTTTCCCAGCTATTATCCAGTGATAATAATTCAGAATATGAAGACAGATAAGCCAACAAGAAGGTATCGGGGAGTGTTTCAAGGCACTATGAGAGCACTGGAGCCTAAGTTTCCAGGAATGTAAATCCTTCATTTATTGAGGGCACTCAACTACCCAAAAAAGAACAGAGGCTGGGCGTGTTTGCTCACACCTATAATCCCAGCACTTTGGGAGGCCGAGTCAGGCAGATCACTTGAGGTCAGGAGTTGGAGACAAGCCTGGCCAACATGCTGAAACCCCATCTCTACTAAAAATACAAAAGTTAGCCAGGCATGGTAGTGTACACTTGTAATCTCAGCTACTCAGGAGGATGAGGCAGGAGAATTGCTCAAACCAGAGAAGCAGAGCAGTGAGCTGAGATTGCGCCACTGCATTCCAGCCTGGGGGATAAAGTGAAACTCCGTCTCAAAAAAAAAAAAAAAAAAGAACAGAGACAACTGCTTTGATAATGGGTGGTGGTGGAAAGCAATTATTTTTTCTCTTTTTTAAATTAAGAATATTAATCGTGGTTACTCTAATATTCTTCGAGAAAATTTTAAATTAATAGATAACAAACACATGGCAGAAAGTAAACTTTCTGAAGATGCTGAGATGAACTTGACATTGCCAAATTATTTCTGGGCTCACTAGATTCCTTAGAAGGGATTTTTTTTTTAATTAACTTTTTTTCATTCTGACTTCAGTTTGATTCACCAGCCATCTCCCTTAAATAACTTGCCTATGGTTACACAGTCTGTGAAAGCATAGCAAAGTGGGGACCTGCAACCGAGTTCCTAACAGTTATGCTCCAGTGTCTCCTGACTGTTTTTGGTCTGCTGCTTTCCCTCATCCACCTCTCCCTGTGGGTCCATAATTCCTTAGTTCAGAAAATAACTTCCATCACCAATATCTCCACCATAGAAAGCTACTTTATAAGGACGTAGGTCATTTAGTCCACATGAGAGGTGAGTGGAGCGTGGAAATTTCTAGATGTCCAGAGACCCCATCTTTGGGATAGTCTTGTCTGGGGGATGTGAGGGCAGGAGCCTGTGGAGGGCAGGAGTCTCCACTGTCTGTGAGTGCAATGGCGTTGTCACAGATCCCCAGGGCCTAGCGCAGGGCTTGGTACCTGGCAGATGCTGAACAAGCATCTTCTGTGAGTAAATGCTATGAGGTGATCTGCAGCAGACTTCAGAGAAACTTTGCATACTTAAGTTTTTATGGCCTTTAATGAGGCCTGGTAAGAGGATTTAACCATAATTACTGCCAAACAGTTACTTCTTCAAGTGGACTGTTAGGATGAGGAGAATAAAGGTTATAATTAAGACTTCTGTGTACCCTGGCATTTCAAAAAGCCCTAACAGTACCCACCCTATCAGTCTCTGCCTTGATGCCCAAATCCTGCTTTGAAAGCAGCAGGACCTTTGGGCTCAGAAAACAGCAGGGGAGACCAGACATGGTGGCTTGCACCTATAGTACAAGCTGCTTGGGAGGCTGAGGCAGGAGGATCACTTAAGCTCACAAGTTCGAGACCAGCCTGAGCAACATAGTGAGACGTTATCTCTACTTAAAAAAAAAAAAAAATTATATGGCCAGGCGTGGTAGTTCACGCCTGTAATCCCAGCACATTGGGAGGCCAAGGTAGGTAGATCACTTGAGATCAGGAGTTCAAGACCAGCCTGGCCAACATGACAAGTCCCCATCTCCACTAAAAATATAAAAACTAGCTGGGTCTGGTGGCACATGCCTGTAATCCCAGCTATTCTGCAGGCTGAGGCACAAGAATTGCTGGAACTTGGCAAGCAGAGGTTGCAGCAGGCCGAGATCGCGCCACTGCACTCCAGCCTGGGTGACAGAGTGAGACTCTGCCTAAAAAGAAGAAAACAGCAGGGGTGTGGCAGGGCAGGAGATATTCTGTGCCCAACCAAAAGAGAAAGTATATTTGTCTTTGTGGCTTGATGTGTGGATTGTGTTTTCTGCTTTTTCCCCAAGAAGCCAATGCAGAGCACAGCTGTAGGGAAGTGCCAGGGATGAAAGCCTCAGGATGCATAAAAACGGTCAACCTAGCATCGGGGAAAGGGAAGAAAGACTCCTAAGTACAAATCCCCCACACTTGGGCTAAACCACCCGTCACTGGGTCTTCCTCAAAGGCAATCTGGATTCTGGTGGCTGGCCTTTGTATCCTAGAGAATAAATCTTTCCTTTTTAAATCCAGTCCAATTGAGGAAGTCCTATTGCCTGCTTCTCCTCCGGAGACTTCTGCTTTGTGTGTCTCCTATGTCATAATAGTGACAATGGTAACCATTTATTGGGTACCTCATATGAGCCAGGCATTATGCAAAACACTTTGCTTGTATGTTCTGATTAAACCCTCATAAGAACCTCATGAGGTAGCCACCATTCTTGCCCTCTTTCATAATGAGGAAACTGAGGCTCAGAGGGATTAAGTCTGAGCCTCCCACAGCCAGTAAGTTACAATGCCAAAACTCAAACCCACATCAGATGGCCCCAAAAGTTCATTCCTTTAGCTGTGGCTGCATAGTCCCTCAAGGAGCTACCAAAGTCCACCCAACAGTGACTGCCCCCATGGGGTTCCTCTTAAGTAAGGCACTGGGACTTTCGGGTTCTCTAAGGACTTGAATTGATGACAGTATGGGAGTCTGCTCTGGCTGGGATTTTCCAAGCCTCTATGTAGATACTCCAAGTACCACCTTTTCTCCCCAACAGGGAGGCCACCAAGCAAATGTTCCCACGGGAACTTTTCTTGAACAAACAGGGCTAAGGAAAAACATTTTACATCTGGTAAACAACTCTTAAAAACCCTTCAGAATAACATTATAACCATTTAAGAAGTAGAATCAGTAATTTAAAATCTTCCTCTACAGAAAACTCCAGACCCAGACAGATTTACCAGTGAGTTCTTTCATACTTTCAAGGAGGGGCTAATTTAACTATTATGTAAGCTATACGTATTATTCCAAAGAGTGGAAGAAAACATTCCCAACTCATTTCATAAAATTATGATAGTCTTACTATCAAAACCAGGAAAAGATGACATAGAAAAGGAAAAGTATAGTTCTGCCTCACTCAGGAACACAGATGCAAAAATCCTCAAGTATATATTAGGAAACCAAACCCAGGAATGCAGGGAAATGGAATATATCATGAGCAAGTTTGGGTTTTTCCTTTAAGATTGAAGGTTGGTTTAGCATTAGAAAATTAACTGATATAATTTATCACATTAACAGCTTAAAGGAGATAAAAAGTGACACATTCAATAGCTACAGAAAATGTTTGATAAAATTGTATATTCATCCATTATATATCAAAAAGTCTTAGCAAACTAGAAATAAAAAGAAACTTACTTAAAGTGATTCACGGAATCTATCTAAAATCTACCGCAAACATCACACTTAATGGTGAAATGTTGAGGGCATTTTCTTTAAGATTTAAAAAAAGAACAGAATGCCCATTTTCATATTTCTGCTCAACATTGTCCCAGACAGCCTGGCCAGCACAGAAAGGTAGGAAAAATGAGTAAAGGGTTAAGTCTTTGAAAGGAAGAAATATAAATGTCATTATTTGCAGATGATATCATTGTCTATATAGAAAACTCAAAAGAATCTAGAAAAAAATATAATGGGAATAAACATGAGCTTATCAAGGTTACTGAATACAAATCAATATAAGAAAGTCAATTGCATCTCTGCACACTAAATAGAAAAATGATTTTTAAAAAGGTACCATTTACAGGAGCAACTAAATTATTTAAATCCCTATGAATAAATATAACAAGATATGCAAGCCCTTTATTGAGAAAATTTATAAAACATTATTGAAAGACATTAAAAATGCTCTAACATAAATGGAGAATTATGAAATTTTCTTGAATGGGAAGATTTAATATTTTAAAGATGTTGATTTTCCCCCAGATTTACCCATGAATTCAAATCCCAGTGGGTCTGTTTGCTATTTGTTTTTATGAAACTTGAAAGGTGATTTTAAGGCTCAAATAGAAGAACAAAAAGCCAAGAGCCAAGACACGTCTAATGAAGAAGAAGATGGAATTTAGTTAGGGTAAAGAATTGGACTTACCCAATCAGATTTCTGTTTTTATTTCAAAGCTAATGAAGATGGCATGGATTTAGCATAGAGATCCTATTAAACCAGTGGAACACACTGGAGAACCTAGAAACAGATACAGCATGGAGACTTGATTTATGACACAGCAGACTTTGCAGATCAGAAGGGAAGGATGAACTATGGTGCTGGGCTAATTGGGTATCCATGTGGAAAAAGATGAAATTGGATTCCTCCCTTGTCAAAAATCAATTCCAGGTGGATTAAAGACTTAAACGTGAAAGTCAAAACTATAAAACTTTTAGAAGACTGTATAGAGAAGTATATCCTTATGACCTTGGGAGGAAAAAAAAAACTTATTGAAGACTGTTTAAAATCGTGAACCATAGGGAATGTATTGTAATTTGACTCTATGAAAAATAAGAACTTCAGTTCATCAAAAGATACCACAGAGTAAAAATACAAGCCACAAAGAATTCATATCCAATATATTGGAACTCCATAATTCAATACAAAAACAATAAATAACCCCATGGAGGAGGGGGAGACAAAGGACATAAACAGGCATTTCGTATAACAAGAATGGCCATAAGTATTTGGGGAAAAAAAAAACCTAAAGCTCACTGGTGCTCAAAGAAATTAATTTAAAACCACAATGAGATAGCATTTCACACCCACCCAAACTGCAGGTATTAAAAAAAGAGGCCTTCCCACATGCTGGTGAGATTGTGGGGTAACTAGTTGTCATTCACTGCTGGTGGAAGTGTAAATTGTTACAGCCACATTGGGAAACAGTTTGTTATTGCCCAATAAAACTGAACAGGCTCATACCCTGTGGCCCATCAATTCCACTCCTAGATGTACATCCTGGAGAAACTCTTGCACATGTGCACAGGGGACATGTACAAAAATGTTCATAGTAACATCACTCATAGCAGCCCCAAACTGAAAATTGCCCAAATGACACATACATGACAGAATGGTTAAATGGTCATAGAGTCACAGAATGAAATATAAGAATCGACAGTGAAAATTAGCCACAAACATGTGCAAAAACTTCCTGTTAAGCAAAAGCTGCAAGTCACAGAATATACACATTGTGAGTCTGTTCACACAATCTTCACAAATAGGCAAAACTAAAGAGCATTCTGTTTAGGGATATATGCCAAAGTGGCAACAACACAGGA